AGTGGACATCAGTTGAGTTACACCATGGATTAGTTTGATCATACTATTATGAGGGGATTGAAGCATGGGAGGTTGTTTTTTTTTTAACTGGTCTTGCCTAAGTCATGTAGTATTTGGAAGTAAGAACGCTGATTAATGTAACAAAATTTTATTTTTAATATACATTTTAGAGGACAAAACTGACCTTGAGAACAGTGTGATGCAGAAGAAAATTAAAATCCCCAAACTCTCTCTCAATCACGTAGAAGAAGCTGGGGAGGTTACAGATTATGGGGAAGAAGATGTGGAGCTTAGACACAGTAAGGTACTGAAGTCTTTCCTTTTTTTTTTTTTCTTTTTTTTGAAGTGCTTGGGGCATATACAGATGTCATAGCTTAAGAATCCCAGGCCTGCTTTTGATCCCCTTAAAAGACTGTGTTTGGTGAAATTGGGTCAAATTCTGTGGGGGGTGGGGTACGGGTTTTCAAAACCTGATTTATGTGCAATCGAACATTTTCTTGTTTATACCGTCTGCACAGTTTAACTGCCATTTGAGATTTTTAGAACAATGCTTTAAAAGTCACCAGTTACATGAATGTCGAGCAGCTGTTCTCGGTGGCACTTGTGACCTATTGCGCGCTGCTTGCTTGGGGTTCGAAGGGGTGCTCTGAGACTTCCCAACTAGAGCAGTGGGTGTGAAGACAAATTGATAGGATTGCATCCCTCCATTATAACTGCCAGTTGCCTTTCTAGGTCCAGATGCCAGAAACCCACTAAGTAAATGTATTTATTTTTTTATATCAAATGATTTCTTTAAAAGTCTGCCAACCTTCAGAATAAAATACTGCTCTGTGGCTTCATGTGTTTTGCAGCTGCAGGAATGATACTAGTACATTTCTTTATGGTGGGCCAGCTTTTTTTGTTGGGTTTTTTTTTTTTTTTTTTCATTTTCGGAACACACGTGGAGCAGGCGTAACATCAAATAATCTCATTTTCTGCCACATTACTCATGGATATTGTGGTATGGGAATTGATAGTGTCAGCTTCTTGTCTCTAACCTATGAGCTACATTTGCTTTCCTTGCAGTTGCTTGGAAGTTCAAATGCTTTTTCAATATTTGGCCAATAAAACTTAGTGACTTTTACCTGTACTGTCACATTTTAATACCAGTATCCAGGCCCCAGAAAACAGGTGTGCTTTAATTTGTAGGGTTTGTGCAGATGACTGAAGGTAAATTTCTGCTGAGAGTTCAAAGGAGATGAAGCCTCTGCAATGCAGTACTACTATAGAAGGAATCAGTTGATAAGGAAGATGAGACTGGATGATATATTCTGTCTCCAACTTCTGTGTTTTCAATTCCCTTTTAGCGTTTGCCGATAGTGTTAACTCAGTCACTTGCATTAGGCAGTTGGGTGAATGTGCTAGAGGAATAGTCAGAGAAGGTTTTGCCTCCCAAAGTGTGGGAAGGACAAGCCCTCTGTTCACAAAACAGCTTTGTACGGTATGCTGCTTTCATCTCTGATGTCATTACAGGCGACAAACGTAGCACGTAGTTGCTTCTTTCTCTTGCTTATCAGAAAATCAATTGCTGTTGGAAATCTAAATGTTAGGGGTAAACTTTAAAGGAAGAGAGATCGAGATCCGCTTTTTTTTCAAAAAGAAATTAATTATCTTTGTATATGGAATCAAGTGATAATCACTCAGCTTGCAAGTGTTGCACAAATGCGGAAAGAAAGGCCTTTAACTGCCTCAGAAGTTTGTATATACATTTAGCTGAATTACGCGTGCATGATAGTTATGATGTATATCTACAAGAATCCGTTAGGCAAAGTATTTTTGCAGGCAGGCTTTGTTGTGCTTTTTTTGGAAAACAAGAATATTAACGGTTCCCAATTTGTATTACATCTTACTGCTCTCCTAATTTATTTATTTTTTATTGTAACATGCAGAGACAAGATGGGAGGAAACAAAGTGAAGGTACACACAAAAGCATTGAAGCAGTTGTTGCTCGCCTTGAGAAACAGAATGGGATGAGCCTTAGTAATACTTCCAGCCCTGAGGAGGCTTTTATGGAGACTTCGGAAAGCATGAACAACATGGACGATGCTGTAGTTCCTCGGATTCTGTATGAAGAATTGCTGAGGAGTTACCAACAGCAACAAGAAGAAATGAGACACATTCAACAGGAGCTTGAGAGAACACGGAGACAGCTTGTGCAACAGGCAAAGAAGCTAAAGGAGTATGGGGCACTCGTGTCAGAAATGAAAGAGCTCAGAGACTTGAACAGGAGACTCCAGGATGTACTGCTTCTAAGACTAGGTAGTGGTAAGTGCCGGACTTAAATGGGACTAGTTTTAATGAATTTTGCAAGTGTGATCAATAGTAACGGAAACGTATTTGAAAAATAGCAGTGGTTGTTAAACTGGACATTGAATGTTAAAAGGGTTTTCTGCTATGGCTGTACAATATGTGTTGAATTTGTATGCTATGTACGTCTGGGTTTTCTTTAATGATAGTAGAGGTCTTTGTGCTGGTATGGTTCAATCAGAGTTCCATTTTAAGTAGCTGTATTTTAAAGAGTCTCTGACCCTCCAGTATATGCTGAAAAAGATAATAAAGTGTCATCTGCAAAATATACCAATATGTTCCAGTCTAAAAAGAAAAAAAAGAAAGAAAAGGCAGTGGAATGAATATTTGGGCTACAACTATTTTATTCTTTTCAGTTAGGGATTTTGTTTATTGTTATGTGACTGTTACCTTCCGTTTTTCTGCCGCCCCTTCCGATTAGTAGCTCATTAGAATGTGATATATTCCTGAACTTCGTAGCAGTGGCTTTAAACAGCCGTGCTGTTTGAAAAAATAATGGATTGTTGACGAATAATTAAAAAAGCTTTTTATATTAGTGTCCCATTTATCAGCACTTGTTACAAAATGCAGGTTTGTGTAATTTGGATTTAAATTTTAAATATCTGAGTCAGTTGCTCATTTGTTTTGGTTTATAACAATTATTTAACCATTATGTTGGAATAAATGGGAAAAAAGACAAAATAAAAAGTTCATCCTTTTCATTGAAGATGGTACTCTTGGAATACCTTCAAATATTTTACTAATTTATATTTATTTGCTATTAGAATGTGGTACTGCTATGTTGAAGATTTGCTCAGTGACTGAAACTTGGTTAGAATTTGTGCATCCAAACTTAGCATGCTGTTTCTTATGTCTGCCTTTGTGTATCTGGAAACTTAATTTTTGCATGTAAATTGGATATTGGCTCTTCTACTTGACTTGAACGAGTGCATGTAATTTGCATGTTGGTCTGAGTTACATTCACGTACAAACCTGAACCCGAGAGAGCATGCGCCTGTGCTGTAGCATGTGTTAAGGTGTGCCCGCAAGTTTGGAGCCAGGCTCTCGAAGTAGCATCTGATGATTTAAACTGGGTGTTTGATTGTGAATGCTCGTCATTGTTACACTGTGCATAATTAAAATGTCATTACTTATTATAAACATTCTAGTTAATTTTTTAAATAAAATTAAATAGGCAAAGTTTCCACTGAAAGTCTGAAAAACACGATGTGGTGGGCAGTAGATTCCACTGAACTTTCTAAAATTTTCCTTGGATGGAAAGATGTTTCTTCATCTGCAAGTAGTTAGCTGGAATTTATGTGAATGGAGCACCAGCCAGATGTTAGTAGGCAATGGGGCTGAACAGCGTAAAATACCAATTTAGTTGGTAGACTTGACAGCAATTTGAGTGGTGAGACCAGCAATGAAATGAAGACAGCTTCTGAATTCTGTCTCGTTTCTTTCACTTTAAGAAAGAAGGGATGCATGTTTTACTTGAGCTGAATCAAGAAAGCTTAGAAGAAAAAAAGAAAAAAAAACCCAACAACAAAACACCCAAAACCTCTTGGAAAAAATGCTGGATCTTCTCTAAATACTGGACTTGAATTTCCATTGTATCAGTCTGGCACCTGCTTTACAACTGAAAATAAATCTCGATTACATTGAAGACAAGTTCTTTTAATTTAATCACATACCTGGACAAATATGCATGATACGTAACTTCCAAAAAAATCCGATGTTGTTATTACTTGTATGGAACTTTCCACAGATGACAAAGGTAGAATTTGGCCCTATGGGCTGTGTCCTTCACAGGGTGTGTGTTTCCTAAGACTCGGTGTATCAACCACTGATAACTCGCCTTTCCTTGTAGCCTCATTCACAGTTGAGAAACAAACAGATTCTAGAAAGATCAGTACAAAATTTATGAATGATTAGAAAGGGAGACATCTTCAGCAAATTATAAATTAGGGAGTCTGATGACAGTATGAAAAAGTGCTACTTTTAATCAAGAAACAGATATGTAAAGACTTCTTTAGTCTTCCTTACTTTTTCCAGCTTATAAATGAGGTATGTTTGGGTATGTGAATAATCTGTGAAAATTGTTTGGAAAATGGATTACATCCTGAATTCATCTTCAGTTGTTGCAGCAATCTCTTAAACCTAGGGTTTCAAATTACGTGTAATTTATGTTACACTGCACTTCTAGCAGGCTGGACTTAATGCAAACTAATTACATTTCTGTTTCACCTTAGAGACTTCTGATTTCTTTGCATGAGATGACAGCTGTTTTGTGCTGATGAATTGCAGCTGTGGGAAACGCGTGCCTGTTGCCATTTTAAACTTGCAGATCAAATATAGAACAGCCTCTTGAGCTAATGTTCAGTCAAGTATTCAGTCTCCTAATTTACCATCACTGCGTTGCTTTCAGCGAGAAGCTAGAAGTCAATGTATTCTGCTTTAGACCTAGGCCTTCATCTCTGCTACTAAACTCAAGCCGCTCTTGTGGGAAGAGTGAGGTTCTTAATCTTCCACATGGTGACACTGAATTGCTCTTTGTTTTAAAAGAGCCTTGAAAGCAGATGTGGCAAATGACAGTAGTGAAATCAGTACTGATCCATGGGGATATATTGAAGCTTCTTTATGATTTTGATATGCTGTTGCCCAACAGATCCCTTCCTGGAGGAGGCAGGTCTTTGACCAGGGCTCTAGGGACCAAAGCAGTGGGGGAACACGATGACTGTCGTGGAAGAGGTTATGGTATCCCCTGCCTAAGCTCCCTGAAGAATGTGTGCAACCAAATCCTCTTTTTCCTTGCCTACTTTGGGATCAGGAAGCCCTGCCATTGTAGGCCTTTGCAGTTTGTCTTTATTCTGTTGCACCCAAAAACACGCTAATTTGCCCTGTTTTTATTAATGGAGAGTAAGGTGATTTAGAGAATTAAATCACTGACTCTTCCCTGTAGGCCTAACTTTAAATAGTCCTTGGATTGCAAAACATAAGAATTTCAATAACTTCTTAAAAAAATTGTCTCCAGGCTAAGATCTGTGCATTTTGCTATGGTTGTATATAGTCAGAAGTAGTGAAGTTGTATCAGGCATAACGTTTGGGTGTTGTTCGCTCCCTGATAAATACTGCATTTTCATGTTGTATTGCTAAGAATTAGTGTTGCTCTAAAGTCAGGGAGTATATTCATTTCATTCATTCACATTCATTCATCAACACACACACAGCGCCCCAGGCAGTTATTTTTAATCCCAGTTTAATTTCAGTGATCCAGTTTACAGCGTCTTGGGACTGACACCAGGATAGGGAGAATGAATTTGCATCTTACCACATCTATGCAATTACTGTTACTCAGCTTTTCTAGATTTGTGTGACTTTTTAATGTAGATCTGTGCATTTTGCTATGGTTGTATATAGTCAGAAGTAGTGAAGTTGTATCAGGCATAACGTTTGGGTGTTGTTCGCTCCCTGATAAATACTGCATTTTCATGTTGTATTGCTAAGAATTAGTGTTGCTCTAAAGTCAGGGAGTATATTCATTTCATTCATTCACATTCATTCATCAACACACACACAGCGCCCCAGGCAGTTATTTTTAATCCCAGTTTAATTTCAGTGATCCAGTTTACAGCGTCTTGGGACTGACACCAGGATAGGGAGAATGAATTTGCATCTTACCACATCTATGCAATTACTGTTACTTAGCTTTTCTAGATTTGTGTGACTTTTTGATGTAAAAAAAAAAAAAAAGTCTAAGGTGTCTATCCAGTACGAGTACAGGAAGTACCATATATATAATATTTCCCCTTCTCAGACTCCTGTTGTTTTTGTTCAAATTCCAGTAGACCATGTGGAAAAACAGCTTGCTGCTTTCAAATGTATATTGACCACTTTATAATTTAATTTATTTTGGCTTATTTACTAATTTTTGAGTAGCTTGTAGCCTAAGATGCATTTTTGAGGAAAAGAGGTGATGAAGGGAAGCCTTCTACCTCTTCATACTGCATTTGAAGTTGCTGGCCTCTCAGATATTATGGAAACTTCACAATCAGGAGGAGAAAGATTTTGCAATAAAACAGTTGTTTCCTTTTTGCGTTCTGAAGAATTCTTTTTTTTTTTTAATGATTCTTATGACATAAGTACTATCATTGTTAATTAAGCTTTTAGATAGAGGCATATATTTTTGTATGTCCCATTCATCATCTTTAAAGATGTAGAGTACGAGAGCTACAGAGAGAGGAAACTTTTAGTGTGTGGTGTGTGGTACACAACTCCCATTAGCAGTAAGGCAATAATGTGGGTTGCATGTCTAATTCACAACATGCCAGGTTGAAAATGCAGTCTTTAGTAGATGGTGAAAGTAGCTGTGAAGACTACCTAATTAGAGGCAGATTTCTGTTTGGGAAGAAAAAATGAGTAGAATATAAAAGAAGATGTTAAAGCCTTTCTGTTGGTGACTTCTAAGCAAGCAGTAAAACATGAATTGCAATAGAGGTTTTTCTGACCTATGAGAACTATGGTTATTGTAGACTTTAATCAGCTGTTTTTCTTGGGGAACTCTGGAAACCAAATCCAAGCTGTGTCAATACATGACTAAAAACAAAACAGTGAAAGACTTCTAAATAGCAGCTAGTAAAAGTGTTTAAACAGAGATAAATGTTTCCTTCTAGGAAGAAGGTGGTTGGACTTCGGTGTGTTCCTCAAAGTGACTTTCAAATTATAAGAAAACTCAAAATAGCACTTTGTCGAAGAATGTGTTCTTAAAGTAACAGCTAAAAGATCACTTCTTAAGTTCACACTGGCAATTACGTCACTGCATCTTGCTTGTTCAGGTGTGCCCACGCTGAGATGTGTGCAGACTTTGGGTGGTTTAATTAGTCCAGGTCTTTCCCCCACTCTGAATCAGTTTAGCAGTCTCAAGTATAGAAAGTTTAATTCGTCTTGGTCGTACCATTGCATATACATGATAGCAGAGGTGCTGATTAAGATTACTATGAAATTATAATGCAAATGGTATGGGTTTTGTGTTTTCTGTATTTGCAGCATGCTTGCGTTGCATATGGCTCTTAAGACACTCTGTTGCGGCACTGCAGCATGGGGTTGTCTAAGTTGCCAAGACAACTTTCAGTTGTTGCTGAGTGTAGAGTGGCAAGTCAGCTAAGAACATTTAGCTAGCTATGTAGGTGTAGAATAAGCTATAGGATAAATGTCAAATGCTGATATCATTGTATAATAATCTGTAAATGAAACTGCGCAAAGTAGAAGGAATGAATACTTTACTTGTTCCAGGTACAGGAACTATTTAAGTTACGTGACTCAAGACATGAGTTCTGGTGCCAGCTTGACTTGCAGAGTTAGATCAATTCAGGGCTTGGTGTACAAATACTGAGGAGGGATGCTGAACCATGACAGTGACCTGATTATTGAATTGTCATTTGTTGAAGGTGCCAAGGTTGGGCTAGAGAGTGCTGCAGTGCTCTCAGCACCAACCTGGTACACTATGGTTGTTACAAGTAGGTGAGTTTATCCTTATAGTTCTTGGAAGTGGCTGATTACCGTGGTGTCCAGGGTCTAAACTGGCAACTTTGCTATGTTAACGAACCACCGCCCCTGTGTGGAACTTCAGTGACTGCTGAAGCTTCTCATGAGCCCAGAGACAGACATCAAGAGACAATAATAGGCTGGGGGCTGTAGCCTGTTCCTGATTCATTCTGGTCTAACCGCTGCAATGAATGGAATAATGAAATCCAGTTCACAAATTATTTCAATTTGTTCTTTTCTGCCTTTTTAGGAACACTTTATAAGTTTGGTCTGGAAAAGAAAAGTTGATGACTGACAAAATAATTGTCCTCCTTTGAAGCCTCAAACATATGCTTAGTAGTATTCTGTTGTTTAATCTGTGCTTAATTTTTGTTGATTACATTAAAAATAAAAATCAGTGTGTTGGGTGGATTGGACAATCAAAATTCTAATTTATGTGGGTTTTTTTAACCTTGGATACTCTTTCTATGCATGATACTTTAGCATAAGTAGCCTAAGTCTGTTTCCTTGATAGCATTTCTGTAGATCTTCACTATTTTTAATATACCTCTGTTATATCTAAAGAGACTTCAAATTTCTATAAAATTTGTAATTCTGTATGGATAATTTATATAATTATCACAGTAAATTATGTAGGCTTCTATGCAACTATATAGTAATTTTTATTTGAAGAATTACTATTGTTGCTTTTGGTGTATAATTTCAGTGTCATTTTAATATAATTTCCGTAGTGTGCATTCAAGCAATCTTACCCATATCTGTAATTGTCCGTATCCTTTAAGAATAAAAATAAACATTAAAACGAAACATTTTAATATTTATAAAGCAGAGTTACTTATCCTGCTTTTATTTATTGACGTCCGGAAGTAGGATTTTGGTTTAGACTCTTTCTAACTTTGAAATGAACATGACTAATGTGTTATTTTATGCTAACCATGGGTGATGAACTGATTGATTTCATGTTCTCTGGGATAGCAGACAGCTCTCTTTTCTTAACTGTCTAGGACCTGCCATTGAGCTTGAAAAAGTAAAACCAGAATCAATTGAGCCTGAACCTGAGGTACAGAAGACCTTCAGTGAGGAAGCAAATACATCAACGTACTATCCTGCCCCTGTTCCAGTAATGGACAAGTATATTCTCGAGAATGGAAAGGTATTTTAAATTAAATACAGCATGAATAGTTTGTAAATGTCCATCAGGTGATTTTCTTGTGGAATTTTCATGATATCGGGGGTTTTGCATGGTAGCAGCTTATACAGACTTCCTCAGTTTTTATAAAGGCATGCTGTTATGCTGAGGGAAATTACAAAATTACACAAATCTGAACAGCACAGAAAATTATCCTCAGTAATGAGAGCATTGAATGCTGTGTAACACAAGGAATATAATTATTAAATATGCATGCACAAGCACATTGGCGTAGTCTTCAACTGGTGACATACATAAATCTACCAAATACAACCAGTCAGTAACCCACGTTATAAAGTTACGTTAGTCTATCTAGAAACACTTTTCCCTAAAAGGTCTTTAACATTTTTAGTGTGCTGTAGTCCTATTGTAGAGAAGCCTTCATGTTTTGGCTGAATTGGAGTCCAGTAGATAATTATGAACCCTGGGGTTCAGTGAAAATGGGCTCCCTTGGATCTGGTAGGCGTGTTGCTACTGAATTGAGCTGATGTAGTGCTACTTTACAGATACTTTTATAAAGTTGGTGAAATACCATCTAGCTACAGTTTGCCAGAACCTGACGAATAGTTTTTTCAGACTTCGGCATGTTTAACACATTGTTCACTCATCTACTGACGCCTGCTTTTATAGCTGTTGCCATTATCATTAAATGAACATTATATTTCTTTTACAAAACTGTATGTCCTTCAGAATTGCTTATGCAGATCCTGTTTCTTAGGATATGTATGCATTCGGTACCATAACCTGAGAACCTTTTAGGAGGAAACGTCCATTTCAGCTTTGGCATACAGTGGAATTACTGGTGGAATAGCATGAAATATTACACTTTCAGATCTGTATTACAAGATTGACTGTACAAGTGTCTGTCATTCTTTAAGATGAATTTGACGTAATTGTTGAGGACAAAATGTATGTGAAAAATAGTATAATCTTGACAGTTTGACAGGTATTTGGTTCAGATAGCTTTTCTTGCCTAATATATTTAACGTATGTCATTTGCTTGTATATTTTGTGTATATTTGTGCAATGCAAACTTAGCATATATTACTGTGAGAGTTTGGTTTCCCTCCTTTTTTTTCTGCTTAAGATCTGTGGGATAGGGCACATCCTTTAGTATTTGTATGCAGCTTTTCCTGCACCTTTATTTCATCTGCCAGCTTCTTGGCACTTCTGTTGCTGAATTTTTCTCTGTCTTTACAGATATTAGTATCTCTTTAACCTTCTTTTTGTAATTTTGGTCTGTCTTTAAGTTTGCCTATTTATTGGGGCTTCAGCCAGCTCAGATGCCAGAAATGTGAAGTAATAATGTATTTAGAGTGTTGGAGGGTGTTTTTTTTCAGTTTTCCTTATTTATGCCTTTTTTCCATTACTTCTTTATTGACATGCACCACTAGAGTAGTTGAAATACTTTTTTAGAAATCTTGCCTTTTGTGGCATCGGATTTGATCTTAGTAGGATTCTTTCAAAGCAGATAAATCTCTACCTTCCAGAGGGAGAACAGAGTTACCAAAAAAGAGCCTATGACATTCATTTAAAAAAAAGAAGCGGGGGGGGGAGGAAAGGGGGGAAAAAAAAGAGTTCATCTTCTCAGATACATTTTAGATATATTGCACATGTTAGCACAGTTATGGTGGTGAGCATTGCTTTGAATTTGCTGTTGTTTCTGTTGCGTTGTGCTTGAAGGTTGATCCTGCAGTTGCTGAAATTTGGGGTAAAGTTCCCATTGATTTTATCAAGCCAAGGGTCTGGCCCATGGGGCAGCTCTTCCAGCAAGAAGGAAGTGGCTTCTGAATCTGGAGTACAGTAAGCTTCCCGTAGCTTTGGGAATAATAGGACACAGTACCGAGCCTGTTGTACAGAGAGGTAAACTGAGACATGGACAGATTAAATTCCTTGCTGTAACAGTGCTAGAAATAGAAAAAGGGAGACATAAGATTTCTGTGTCTGTGGCTGTCTGTCACGTAGTTGCTGTTACCATAGGTGTTTCATACCAGTGATAACTTTTTTTTAATAAATGAAGCATGTTCAAAGAAGAGGTGATCTGTCTGAAACATAAATATTAAAAATATTTGCTGTAACTTGTTGTTTTCGTTTAAATAACTTAAAGCTAATGAATAATGTAGTAGACAGCAGTCTCTACAACTAATGTAATACAGACATCCAAAATTTGGCATGTCACAATTTTCCTAATCTTAGTTATTTTTGAAGTAACTTATACTCATTTTTACAGATAACTTTTCCAAGATCAAAACGGAAATAACTGAATTATAACTGTGACGTGATTGTTTTCTGAGCACAGACTGCTCACTCTGATTGAAATTATCTTACAAAATATGTAGAGCACCAAAAGAGTGAATTTTTTAAAGCAATTATGAAGAGGCTCAACAACAGAGAAGGAAGGAAAAAAAGGGGTGTTCATGTTGTGCTTATTACTAGTACCATTTTTGTCCATTATGAAATCTAAATACCATGTGGACTTGTGAAAAGCTTTGTAGAATCCCTTTAGCGTAGAAGATTCTGCAGGAGAGGCAGCTTGCTTTATCGTTTTATACTTTGAGGAAGTTAAACTTTTCATTTGTTTTTTATAAGGTAGCTGGTGGCCAAACCATTCATATTCTTCTATTTAAGTTTTTAAACAAATAGTTGCTTTTGAAGGATGCTGTTGTAATAAAAAATTTCTTCGGGTTATAGCCCTCATTAATAATTAAAGCAGGTTTCCATTTAAAGGAAAAATGGTATTTTGTTGAATACAAAATTCGACAGCAGTAAAATTATTGTTATATAAAATTTTACAGTAGCTTTGTCCAATTTTCATTGCATTTAATGGGACTTATGTGATACTGTTCAGATCTGTATGGGTAGCAGGCACATTTTATGTAATGCCACATGAAAGGAGTAAAAACACGAACAACTAAGAGCAAAACAATTAAGGCAAACAGAGTCTCCTAATGTAGTTTTGCTATAGAGTTTTGTTCACAGGTTTTTTTTTTTATATATATTTTTGGTATTTTGCACTTCTACAGAATTATCTGAAAGTAAGTTCTGTCTTCTTCCTTTCCAGTGCAGTGAACTCTTATCAGTAATTAGAATAGCTAGGTCACGCACTAGCTTGTCATGGATGATGAGCACGCGCGGGTCCAACTGAATGAAGTTCATCACCATGTGAACAAAGCTTTCTGTGTGCAGAGGTAGTTCAGGTGTCTGCACTGTACTCCAGGAATTAGGAGCATGGACAGACACAGTACAAAGTATTCTCCGTGGTTCTGCACGGGGCCAGTGTTTGCATCCAGTTGGGCTTACTGGTTGCACTCATGTCAGACCTGTGCTGATTACTAGTGGAGTTATTTTCCTTGCTGTTGCTTGATGAAGGTGTCCTGGTTATCAGGAGGACTATCAGCTCAAACATATGTAGTGCCAGCATAAGGATGGTACTCAGATTCTCGTCCTGCATTCATCTTAAGTCTGGAGCACTGGGAATCTTGGGGTAGAGATGCAGTGTAGCTCTGTGGGAGTCAACCCAGCATAGGCAATGCTGAGCAAGGCTAATAAGCACAACTAGACTTGAGCACCTTGCTTTTGGGGACTACAGTGGCTTCACACTGCATTTCCCAGTACCCATATTGTCCTGCTTTGCTACTTCAATCAAATATCTCTGCTCCCCATTGTCTGGATAATGGGAAGTTTATCATGTTGCAGCAATGGGTCATTGCCTTACCACAAAACAGTATTCACCTGGATAGATTGATCGTACATGATAGGCAAACTTCATGATAGAACTGGAAGTTTTACAAAGCTTCCAAACTCTCTTGGCTTATACTGAAATTGGAGCTCTCAAAATCCCTTCTCTCCTTCTAGTTACTTTGAACAATCAGGCTGAGTTTTGCCAACAGGTATAGGATATGACTTAGGAAGTATTTCCCTCTCTACTGCCTCCAAAATATGCTTTGGGTAAAGTCTGTTTCAGCCAAAGGGAAGCTTTCATATTAAAGACAATGTTTCATCTTGCTCCTGAGTTAGGTTTGGTGCAACTGCTTGGTTTATATGCTGTGCATATCTTTATAATACTGGATGTGTTTACTGTTTCCTTCTGTCTCTGTTCTTGACCATAGTCTTTCAGGAGATAGGCTATGCGGGGGGGAAAAAACAGAGAGTAAGAAGAATTGAATACAAAAAGGAAGAGGAACTATATTACATAAGAGGTTGACTTGAACTCCCTGACCCACAAAGTTGGAGAAGTTTCAGAATTAGGCAAAATGGATTTGTTCAGCCCTAATTACTGTTACTATAGTACCTAATATTAATGTTCCTACAGCACTTGGATACTGTTGTGTGCTACATACCATAGATAAGTTGTTATTATTACTACCTTCTAGGTCCATCTTGGCAGTGGAATTTGGGTAGATGAGGAGAAATGGCACCAGCTGCAAGTAACACAAGGAGATTCAAAGTATACAAAAAATCTAGCGGTTATGATTTGGGGAACAGATGTTCTCAAGAACAGAAGTGTCACAGGAGTTGCAACCAAAAAAAAGAAAGATGCCGTTCCCAAGCCACCTCTCTCACCTCACAAATTAAGCATTGTCAGAGGTAGGTTATTTGAAAACTTTTGCTTCCTGCTTTGGAGTTTAACTATTAATCATTGAGTTGAAAGATGCTTCTTTTCAGCTCATATAAAATTAACTGATTAAAAGCTGTAATTCAAATTGCTATTGCATTGTGAAGTGCATACATATCCAGGAAAAGTAAAACACATTGCAATAGCTGTGCACAGTGCAGGCCTTCACAGCTGAAGAGTTGTACTTCAGCAAGGTTCAAGAAGATCATCACTTTGAACCACTTGCAGGACAGGACTCTGAGCCTGGAGAACAACATGTTGTTCTGGAATTCATTCATAATACAGTGGGTTTTTTTAAAATGCATATATTCCTTTTAACAAGCCTGAGAGTAGCTTTACCACATTCTTTCATCCAGAATGTAACCAACTCTGGCATGAGGCACAGAAACCATTATAGCTGTGACTATAAAAATACGCATACCTTCCAAGGCGAGAAAGAATAGTTTTACCCTTTTAAGTGGAGAAAATGGAAATAGTAAAAATTAATTGTTGCACTTGAATTGGAATTTGAACAGGAAGTGTAAATCGCTGACCTATCTGGCAGGAAAAATTACAATGACACTTTCAATAACTGCAAGCCTGAGTCCATGTGTGGACTCCTTTGAGAGAGAGAAGGCCTTCTCCTTTATTTGAAGTGAATAGTGAATTTCAGTCCCTTTGTGTCATCATGCTTGTGTTTTGCATTCATTTCTGTCTCTCTTGGTATTTCAGGCTTCTTTTTAAGTCAGAACTGAATCCATTCCTCATGGAATACATACCGAAATTGGATTTTTAGGTTTTGTGTCCATACGAAATTGCAGTAGGGCTGAAAGAAATCTCCCTGTTTGATTGAACTCCATTATTCTGCATTTCCTGTTCTTAGTTGCTATGTGCTCTTAACTATGAACTCTTTAAGAGATGTTGTAATCTTCCTTGCAAGTAGGAAGTAGGAAATATGATTCCTCTTTGAGTGTGTGTCTGTGTTGTGTGGGGAAAAGTTGGAAACTGATCTTCATGCTGTCATCTTTCTTAGTTTGTAAGAAATGAGTAAAAGACATGGTGTTTTTTACTGATCTACTTTAAGAATATATGTGGAAGGGCAAGCTGTTCCATACTGATTTTCTAGTTCTGGCTGGGACCTTTTGGTACAGTCTGAACATGTGTAGCAAAGTAATGATGTACAGGCCACGTAAGGAATCCACTCTGTGGCTGTGGCTACCCTTGTCAGCTCCTAGTGGGAAGGAGAATTGGTTACCCAGATGCGCACGTAGAAATACGCAGTAAAAAGGGGTCATTGTTCACTGGCCCATTGCAAAGAACTTTCTAGTTTTCCTGCTTGAGGCTGTTGCTCCTCAGGACTGCTGGCAAGGTTGCTTACGTGAGAATTTCCTCCTCTACTTCAGTCAGGGCCAGTCTGTGTTGCTTGAGCCATTTAAATGATAGCTTTCTTCTAACTCCCCTTGTTTTGACTACAGTGAGTTTGGGAGTATGCTCCAGCAGGTACATGGTGAAAGGCAGATGGGGCCCTTCCCTTTCTTCTCTTCCATACCTTTACACACTCCAGCAATTCAGCTCTTCCCTATTTCCTCGTTTTTCTGTGTTTTCTGTCATACTTCTGCTTCCAGCCTCAGCCCTCATTTGAATTGTACTGTTCCACGCCCTGGTTTTCCATGTTCCTCTTTCCAGTGTTTATTTCACCTTGTCTTTGACTCCCTTCTTGTTAGACTCAAGACTGTACAATCTCCTCTTGAATCAGTTAAACTGCATGGCCAATGTTTTAGGTGGCATCAGACAGAGTTCCTGTATCAGCGGTACTGGGTAGCACATAACCATGACTTTCCACATTGTTGTGTCCTTTGCATTTGCGTCAATGTTAGCAGGCCTTGCCCCATCATGCCAGCAGTGTTTCCTGGAAAGCTGGAAGTGATCAAATAAGTTGTTAATACGTTGTGGAGAAGAAAACAAAAACAAAACAAAGAGTAGCAAGTGGAGAAATGGTGAAATGCGAGGGAATTAGAGTTTACATGGCCAATGACTTGGATCAGGCATCACAGAAAGAAGTAAAGCTCCTTGTTGGCCTTTGAGGTCTACTTGAATCTTTGGTCCAGTCAGAAGTACGAAAGGGTATCTATGTTCCTCTAAAGCCAAAAGACAAAGAAGAAGCAGAACCCCCAAATCACTCTTTGGAGCCCCTAAGCCAGCATCCTTATGTGACTACTAAACTACTATCGCTGCAGCCCCTCATAGAAATGGAAGAGATGGAAGAGGAAGAACCGTGATGATCATGGATCTGTCTGGGTCACGCTGACTTTAAGAATCACAGCTGATGCATGAGTTCTGTCAAGTGATTCTTTGCTTGACATTGTGGCTAAACTAATAACATAGCCTGTATTTTACTGGAAGTTCACCTTACTGGGTGTATCTGCCACAACCTGGGAGTATTCCTGAGATTGTTGTAGTCCAAGTTTATGTCCTACAAACACACTGGGTTTCTTCAGGTTCTCAGTGACGTGCCTCTTCTTAGGTGCCATATTTCAAATCATAGTTTCCTGGTGATCAGCATTTCAGCTGTCAGGCTGCATGCTGATTAATTTTATTTATTTTATATTCAGTACATCTTACAACATAAAATTCACATTGTTTTAGATGTTCTTATCATTCTGTGGACACAGACTAACTTATTTAAAATAGATTTTTGAACGACAGCATTAGCTCTTAATGTGTCTGATATCTCTAGCTTCTTAAAAATCCCTACTGTGTAGTATGTAATAAAGAATTATAAAAAGTATGATGCATGAGCACTGTTACAAACCTTGTTAATGCAAAATAGCCTTTTATAAAACTTCTGAGAGGTTTCAAAATGAACTACAAAGCATGCATAGTACTAAATTTTCATAACTTTTTAATATGACGCATTAGAAATGTTATAAACCATGTTAATTAAGCGATAATCTCTATGGCTTTCTGTATATGAAGCAATAAATGGCTACTGGAATAGATTACTAGCCAAAGCAGAACAGGGTTTGTTTTATCAATGTGGGAAGCCTACACAAAAAAATACACTGTTCTGGTTATGAAAATAAAAAAACAAAACCTGTCTGTCTCAGAGGAGTTGGATGTGTCGCAGCACTTCTGATTTCAGTAACCTCTGCAGGATTCTGGCACCGAACTACCGACTCTGTGGAGCAGAATTGTCTTGACTTTCATTGCCCTCATTGCTTTTGCAGTTACTGCTGTTGCTTGCTTTTTGTATTCCAGTTAAGTTCACAAAGTGCGTTGTGCAAACATGCAAGAAGATGGCTCTCACCCTGAATAATCTACTAATAAAAGCAAAATACGCCCAGGGACAGGGTGTCTGATAAAGATGCAGACATTAATGTATGTTGTACAGATTTAAAAAATAAATCAGTTAATGTCTTCTCCTACTGGTTGCTGCTTCTCTTCCTAACCTTTATCATTTACTTACTATCTTGAAGGTAGGAGTGACTCACAGGGAACTGTAGATAACAACAGTTCTATTGAGACCGTTCACCTGGGAGAAGATTCTAAATCTGCTGTGGAGATACGGACAAATACAAGAGTTAGGCAGGCAAGACTGACACTGTAAAAGGTTGGATTTAGCCTTGTTTCTGTATAGAAAGCCTATTAATGTAGTCACAGCATAACTGGAAGTTGGTCATGCCAAAGATTCAAGCCTGGTGAAAAATCTTGTCTTTAACAAGATAGCCAGTGAATCAATGCAAGCTGCTTGTTGTCTTGCAACAAATATACACAGTGCTTACTCAGTGCTGTCTCTTGAGTAGTTAGCCCAACACAGGGCTATATTCTATTCTAAAAATATCCTAATGGCTCTTTCCTTTTTTTTTTTTTCTCCCCAGAATGTTTGTATGATAGAATAGCACAAGAAACTGTGGATGAAACTGAAATTGCACAGAGACTCTCCAAAGTCAACAAGTACATCTGTGAAAAAATCATGGATATCAATAAGTCATGTAAAAATGAAGAAAGGAGGGAAAGTGCAAAGTACAATTTGCAATAAATTTTGGATTTTTAATAAAGTCTTAGTGTTTTACTTAAGTGTTGTTTTTTTATTTGTGTGGCATTTTTGCTGATGGGAGAAGCTTGAAGCTTTGAAGCATTACTCTCCTACAACTGATTCATTTTTTGAGCGGTTCTGTCAAAAGCCTTTCTATGGTGTAACCTGCTTTTAAATAATGTAAGATATATTGTAAGTTCACTCACAATGAAACAGTGACTTTTCAAAAGTTTTTCCAATGAGTTGCAGTATGTTACCTACAGTTCTGTATATAGGTTGTAATTCTGCAAACACCAACCCATTTTGCCTACATTTTGTTTCACTGGAGTTAGTGGATCTAGGTGTAGTAAACATCTGCTTAGAAGGAAGAACTGTACAAAATCCACTTTGCCATTGAAAAGGGTTTTATTGTATTCTACAAAGTGTTTTTCTGAACTGAAATTTTATTCGTTTGTTTTTATAAATCTTTGCTTTGATCTCTAACAATATATTTGGTCAAAAACACACAAAGAATGCTTCTTTTTCACTTACTATCTTGTAGTTAGATCACTACATTGCCGTCATAGTTTTAAAAAACCAAACAACAGAACCCAAAGCTGTAAGTTGTAAAATCACGATAATTTATCTTAAGAAAAAAAATCTAAAAGCAGTTCTTTTTCAGGCACCAAGGCACTTTTCAGATTTCTGGTTATGGTGCAAAGCTCTTCAGTATGCCCATATTACTGTTCTTGAAACACTCTAGTGTATTTGTATTTTCAAATGATTTAAAGATTGCCACACTATGGCAAGATGATGTATAATAGAAAATTTAGTACCATTTCCTCTGAGTCTGTAATTTAACAGTGAACACTTTTAGCACAAATTAAAATTAAAAATAAAAATAATTTTCTACACTGAAGTTAGACTTGCGATGCAAAGTTAGAAGGAATAATTTGTTGTCTGAATTATACCTTATTGTCTGAGTGAAAGAAAATAACCTGAAGTCTTGTTTCATGAAGGATTTTGAGAATGAGGTTTATAGAGATAACGTAGGGCCTGTACTGATCAATTTTGAGGATTTGTTATATTAGTGATGTTAGTAAACCTTCCATTTGTTTTACGCACACAGATGTGATTATCTACCTTTCAGGCTCTCTATTCCCAAGTATCAGCATTTGTTCCTTTGCTGATGGAACTACAAGGAACTACTGATGTAGTTTTGAAAGACTTACCATTTCTTGTCATCTTCCTGTAGCACTGGTATACCCTAATGTAAAACCTATTTCAGTGTCCTGTATGCGTAGATAATTTGAAAGGAGCAATGCAAGGATTCTTTAAAGGGCTGGGGTGGATGGCGGAAAGAGGGGAAGGAGAGGAGGAGGCAGTGCCTGTTTCAGAAAAGATGGAGAAAAACACCACGTTGTCTCTTCCTGTATACCACATGTGCTTAAATGATGCCTTAATTCAGGGCGTAAGTATTTGTTTTATGCTTACTAAAGTGCAATTTCATGATTGGCTTGTGCCAATCTTGAGTATGCTGTGCTGCCAAAAGAGTACGCCCCACTTTCACTGCTCGTGTCCCTGCATTCCCGTCCCTTCCCTTAAACTGGCACTTGTGATTGTGCAGACGTGTTGGATATCACCGATTTCCAAGGTTCATTTCATGAGGGCTGGTGCCGATAGGATGGAGCCAGGGAGCATTCATAGCGAGGGACGGGAAGAGGAGGAGTGTCTTTTTACTGTGGCTTACGCGTATTCTGAAATTGCATTTAACAGCCTAGCTTGTCTCCTGTTAATCTCAAAGTGTTCTTAGGTGGTGTTTAATGAAGTGCGTAAATGGTTCTGCTTCCTAATTTGGGATGCTAAATAGCAAATTAGTGTTTATAATGTCAGTGCATGTATCCTTTTATTAATTAAAGAACAAAATAGAGGTAACATTGAAGAAACATTTAAACAGCAAGTTCCCTCTTTTCAAGCAGACTTGTGAATGTACAATTTTTTGCAAGTGATATTAGGACAATCCGCTAGTTTGGGGGAAAACATCCATAATTTCTTCAGTCTTTTTGTGGCTTTAGTACTAATGTGTTTTCATTGTAACAAATTCTTTAATGAGAAGATCATGCTGCACTTCTTGAAGATAAGCCTCTTTGAGACAGCATTTTATGAAACCTGGGAAAAGCAGATTAGAATTTAATTAGAGTTAGGACTCCAGCCTGGCCCCAAAAGTCAGAGATTCTAAGTCTTTTCGCAAAACCAGCATCATCTAAGGCTTCTCCTTGACAGACTTGCCCCATCGGATGTTAGTGCTGCATATTGCTGGAGAATTTCAGTTTTGTCTTTGGGAAGGTATCTTGGAAGTCTTCATTCATTTCTTCCTGGCGTTTCTATCAGCCCAGGTCCAGCAGACAGTTTTTAGCAGAGTTCAACAGGAGTATTTGGGTGGCACAAAAAGGCTCGCTTCCCTTTGAAGTGCAGCGTTGTGGGGGGCTAATACTGTGTCCTTTGGACTGGGCAACTGGCCTTTAATGTGAGCGTCACCTGAAGCTTTTCTGGGTTACGGTAAAGGAATAGGACATAGTAAAGGTTGTATGCCTCTTTACTGTGTTATTACTTGAACTAAATCTTTGGATTTCCGGAAATAAGTTTTTGCTAACGATAAGCCAGTTTTGCCCACTATAGGGCAATGTGGGGAGGGCTCTGTAATGGATAACAGGTGTGTGTGAATAACATCTCTGCACTTATATTTGGTCCTTACTCTTGTCTTTTCCCTCCCCATGAAGCTGTATGAAGACCATACAAGCCTTTTCCAGTGTGTGTGTTTCAAGTTGGGAAATAGGCTACAGTTGTGTGTTCCAGCATGACCTAAGGAAAAATACAACCTTTAATGGAGTGTGCTTTTCTGCATTGAAATACTGATTGATAAATTAACTGTGAATTTCATTTCACTATGTTATACTGCATTTATGGCCAACGCTGTTCTTGTTGGTAAATTAATTCTTCCATAATTGTGCCTGCCTGTACATAGTTTTGCTTTGTTCATAATGCATCTGCCATAAATCTACCGTAGGAAACTTTATGCGAAAATAGCGCCTACTAACTTTTTCTTACTCTAGCTTAACTTCATACCTGTACGTCATGTGAAACAGGAGAGAATTTTCACATAAAATGAAGTAGGTTTTATTATACCCTGTAATACTCCTCGTTCATCATTCTAAGGTTTGTGCTGTGCCGTTACTTCATACTGTAAACCTGGATTTGTATCAGAAAAACGCAGATTTAAGAGGAACTGACTTTTTGTCCTGAGAGATCAGTGCATACTGTTTACTTCTTTTTTTATCAAAGAAGGAAGAAGGTATTACTGTTATATGAATAATCTGATCCTTTGTTGCCACACATTGCTGCTGTAATTTGTGATATTCATGACCTGATCCATATTGAAGTGCCTCTGGCACACTTGCAAGGAAGCAAGGTTAGAGTTAACAAAGAGGGCTTTATTTTCTATTAATGATTTTATAAGGGAAACGAGCTTCCTATTATAAATTTAAATGAAATTCCTATTATATTAAAGGAAAGAATCCTACCAGAGATTTTAATACCTCAGTCAAGATGTCTAGCTACTCAATTAAAAAAAGAAAGCTAGTATTTGTTAGAGGGGAAAAAAAAAAAATTGTTAGGTTCTGCTGTTACAGAACAGGTTCGGATTTAGCGATGCTTTATAGAGATGGGAGTTGTTTGTTGTTCGGGGTCTTTTTTAATACAGCCAGACTAAAATACTTATTTAGTCATGTCAAAGTTGAACTATAAGTAGAAGGAATTTAAGGTTGCATTTGGTTAGCTATTGAGCATGACTGTCAAAAGAAGGTACAGTCTCCCTGTGGGAGGTCACTTCTTTGCACTGTACGTTTGATGCTGTATCTGATAGATTACTACGATGCTGCTTTGTTGTTTTAAGCATAGATTATTGTCCTTTTGGAAGTTTTAAGTAGCAATAAATTTAACTTCTTTTTTTATTTAGTGAAATTCTAAAGATAATTTAGCTTCATGCTTCCAGAATTTGTAGACCTTTAAAAAAATAAAGCTAAGTGCAGGTCATTGTTAATACCATCTTGATGCAAAGCCTCAAAGGGGTGAGAATGTTCTGGTTGGGAACATTCTGTATTAGCTGTAGCCTCACTATGCATTAGCTGCATTCGTAACTCTTGAGAAACCCAAATGTGGACTGTTTCTGAAAGGGAAAGTAAGGTTGTGTCACATGGAGCTATACTGAGGATTATTTCAATATTCTATCTTCTGGTGTGAAAATGGCCACTCTTCAGGAAGGTATAAAGATGAAACTTGTGCTTCTTCAGAATGAGGTGGTAGTTTCCTCACTATTCTTGCAAAGATTTGTCATTCTGTGCGTGCCTTTAGTCTCAGATTGATGAAGTCATAACATCAATTGCTTAGACTTTATTGGTGTCATTTTTTTCATCGTAACAGTGTGGAACTGTGAAGTGATTCAACACTGAGGCAATAAAAATGTTATGAAGTGCAATCATTGCATGTTTCATGCTCAGTAGCTAATTTTAATTTCACCATCTTGGACACTTTTTCATCCCCTCAGGCTTCCTAAGTAGGAAAGGAGAATCATTTGGACTTGGAACACAGGAACAGTGATTCAAAAAGGAATTAATTTGCTTGGCTGTTCATTTGCTTTACTTCTGCAATTATTTCTGCTGTTTGTGTTTGAACAATAACTTTCATTCTATGCATCAGATACCCACTTGTTCAGTCGTCCAGTGAAATCACAGTCCTGTGGTTGTGACATCATTTGTTTATCGTAAAAATGAAAATACCTCACCTGTGACATCAGGCGAAGTTCCATTATGTCTGGATCAGAACAGAGGTGGAAGTGAGTCTGGGAGGAGAGGAAGAAGTTGGGCCTAAAGGGGTTTTTTCTGTGCTGCCTTCTGACTAGAAAACTTCCTACAAAGGAAGTTATTACCTCCACGTTTAGCAGAATAGCAATGTTATGTTCCTTGTTTATTGATAGTAAAACCTTAATGGAACTAAACTCTTTATT